TGGTTATACTGTGCGACAGCCTCGACCAACCACGTGGGTTGAGCACAAACATGGCGGACCGTTTTCGTGTCCTAGCTCTTATTTTAGTATCTCTATGGTAACACGAGAACCATAGAAATTTACCGGTCCTGGTTTGAACGGTCAAAAACCTTACAAACTTTCTTCAAGGAAAATCAAGCTTTCATCAAAAATGGAATCGACAATCTTGTAGATCGTTGGAAAACAATTGTAGAGAAGAATGGAAACTATAGAATTAATAAAACTGTGTTCTTTAAAATTTAACCTATTGAAGTTTATCTTTAAATCGGGCACAAACTTATGCAATCATCCAATGCATTTATAAAAATGGTTTAATGGCCGATATTTGTTGACATTCTGAGTGTCTTTTTACTTTGACACTCGATTTAATAGTATTTTGATTTAAAATTAATTGAAATTGTTTTCAGTTGTAGAGCGGATTAATTATTTACCTTGTGGTAGTATAGCGAGGAGTTGATCAATTTTATTTTATATATATTATTCAAGCTGAGATATACTAAATAGAATAAGCTATTTTATCTCCAATATATCATAGCTTGAATATATTAGATAAGCTCTTTTATATGAAATTTTCTATTTTTTGTGCTACATAAAAATTAATAATCAATAGGAAAAAAAAGTATTCGTAATGCGTATGATCTTATTTCCATATTGAATGATCTACATTTTCAATATCGTTTAAGTATGGTAGCTGTGTGTGAGTTACGTAGCAAATATACAAAAACAGTATTTTTACAATCCAAAATCGTAACTCATGTTAACTTGTTAATAAATCTGCAAATAATAATATGCTATTGTTGAATGAAAACACAATTGAAGTGTATATAACATGAGATACGATGTACACGAGCGTAATATGTATACCAATTTTAAGATTGCGCAACGGCCAACATTTCCTCTTGATGAATTAAATGTGTAGTATGATTCACAAGGCCCATCAATTTCGATAACGATGCAGCCCATGTATCTAGAAGAGCGGCTGGCTCTTGTGTCCCAGTAAAACGGACTACGCCAGCTGGACGATCCGTACGCGCGCTAATTACTCCAGTCTCTACCAAGTTGCAAAGACATGCTTCTGTTTCTTCAGTCGGAAGATCCAACAACTCAGCCATGCGAGTTAACGTAATCTTGGTGTAATATTTCGCCATGATCCTTATGTTCTAAAAAAAAGAAGTTCCTTTATATACACGCTATTCATGGAATTATTAATTAAAGTAAGACAATTGTTATTGACAAATGCATATTTTACTCAATTGAAGTTTCATCAGGACCTTTTAAAGATATAATTCAAATACAAACGAGAACGCCAAATCATACTTAGCCTGCCCCCGGGCAAGCTGGAGGTAGCTTTATAATTTTTTTAATTAATATGTGAATTCACCGTATTTTCCAACCCAATTTACAATATAAAGGAAAAGAACAAAATGTACTGTACATTAGAAAATTTAACATGTAAAATCGCCGTTTACAAAAATAACAGCAATGTATTTTAATTTAATTTCGAATATTGGTAATTTTGTATGGTACAACTTAATGTAAAATATATTTTCCATTATCATGTCAACATATTCTAAATGATATAAACTTACGTGTTCTACAACACGGTTCCGCAGATCTGCCCATCGTTTGCATCCTTCTTCAGTTGAAGATGAAAAGACTTCGGTTGATCTAAGATCTCTTTCATAAATTTCGCATAATCCTGACCATTTTATCAGCTCGGGATTAACAAATAAACGCAATAATTCCCTAAAGATTGTTTTAGTTCATATTACTTTCAGAGAATAAGAAATAAATATTTTACATATTTAAAAAATCGCATCATTACTTGTAAGTTGGTATCTCATCGAGGAGTTTATCAGCAAGTAATCTGTGAGTTAGATCAGCCTGCTCAGGTTCGTGCGGCGCGAGTACGAGATAGAGGACCGCTCGAGAAAGCGCAGAATGTCTTTTCTCCGGATCGTCCCGAATCGTTGGAGTTTCCAATACTGCTCGGTTATGTCGACACAACTCCAAATGCCAACCTTCATGACGCGCCAATTCCATCATCAAACTGGACATAAAGTTTGAGATTTGTCACCTCTCGTATAGTAAACGTAATGTATAAAGAATGGCATACATACTCGTAATATTTTAATTTCAGTGTCTGAGTTTCCTCGTCGTTCTCATCACTGAAGAACTTGACGTTAATTTTCTTTGCTATGATTTGAGTTCTCATAAAATCTTGCTTTGCCAAACAAAGTCTCATCTGTTCTAAGATGAGGGAGGCCTTTTCCCGACGTGACATACTGCCGTATGTTTCCACCTACGTGATATTGCTATTTAGTATACCATAATCTTTGTAAATTTATATAATCAAATTTTATCGAAGCACGCGCGCGCGCGTTATCGCTGTAAATTATAAATACCTGTAATTCAAGCATTACAGCTGCAGCTCCCACAATGTCTCCTTCCGCTTCTTTTATTTTGGCTAAGCGATTAGTAAGTCTCGCTCTTTCCACCTCGACATATATCTTTGTAAAAAAAATTCTTATTTAATGCAAGTATAATACAAAGATATTACAATTAGCATGTTTGAAACTGTTCGGTAAGCTCTTGTTGGATAATCAAAAATATGTTAAAGCAAACCGGTTGTCTTGAGAGTACAAATAGATCCTACATGTGTTTTCAAAGGTGGAATTAATCACGCAGATGTTTTAATACACCTTAATCGAATCAAGATTTGCTATACTTTCTATGCTGCATTACGATTAGTTGAAAATGTACTTACCTTTCCTTCTGTGACCGAACGAAGAGTTTCTATCAGTTTCACCATAGTTTCTTTGTTAGGCATTTTGTCTATGTAAGTACAACATTCCTGAACCATTTTTGTAACAGCCTGCTTGAGCTGGGAACGCCTCTTTGACAATAAAATGATGTGTTCATTAAGCGCTGACCAATTTTTCGCTTCCAAACAAATCTCGACTATGGCTACAAGAAGTCTGGACGTTGACAGCATGTCAGCACCCTGTACAAGACAGTTTAAGGATAAATTTCTTTAAATGTATACACACGCACACAAACACAGACACCACTGTTCATAAAATATAGAACACCAATACAGTGATTCTGTAACTTGCTATAGGTGCTTTTCGGTATCGTTGACTAGCGACAGCCAATGGCAAAGATGATCTTTGAAAAAGACTCAGCTTTTCATGGGTTGTTACTAGTTAACGATACCAAAAAGCCTCGATAGCAAGTTACAGAATCCCTGTACAGGAATCGAGTTAAGCAATTGAAAAGGCATTATAGTTTCTCATGTCAATTATACGACTTCTGTCGAAGTCGTCAAACTGAACGTACAGTTCTTTCGCTCATCTATGTGGCGTCTTTAATAACAGTTGAGCAAGTACTGGCACGACAAACTAGTAGCTCTGTTTCACACAAAGTGTGCAAGTAAAATAAAATAGGAAGGGGGAATACAAGTTAGACACTGCTAGGTCCAATTAATCAGTACTCGGTAAATCTACACTATTGATATCAAAATTGTAATAATTTCTCCAGTAACGTTCACTAAACAGATCCCATAAAAATGACGAATATAACTTGGTTCTTTTTTGGTGAACTGTTTTTATAAACAGCAGCGTATACAAATATTTCTTGCTTTACGGTATCAGTGTATACTTAACGGTTCTAGTGAGTTTCTCTAAAGCTAATAACTGATCCAAGGCATCGTGCAGCTTTCCTTCGGAAGCGAGTTTCTTGCATTCAGGAATCTTCATGTCACAAGTACTGCTATAGTCCATCTCCATCTTCACAAGTCTGCCGGAGTTATCCATCGTCGCATCTGCCATTCTAACAGCTTGGCAATATCTAATTTCACATAAGAATAGATAAAACAAAAAGATCCATCAGTGTTCGTAAACGCAATTGAATTCTTTTCAAGTATTGTCTGGTTGGGCGCTAACACGTCAGCTCCTCCGTTGAGTTATTGGATGTAGAGAACACTACTATGCTTAATGCAAACATTTGTTTTAAAGGTTAATTGACAAAATATCAGATGTAAGGCAATTGCAATTGTAGCTATGTTGAACACAAATAAAAGGAAAAATGACTGGAAAAGTACCAAACGCCTAGAATTTAATCGTGAAATAACCTACGAAAACATTTACGTTATAATTTATCATTATAGTGAATGACATACTGCAAAATAAAACATATTACCCCTTGTACCAGTTCTTTAAAAATGATATCAGGAAAATGAAATATATCTTTAATATACATTACTTTTATTATTTGTTTGTAGATATTAACCAAATCCAATGTATATCGAGTGAAATATATCGAACTAAATTGTGTCGGTCACGATTGTCACAATTATGCCATGATGAAAAGAGTAATGGAGAATTCACACTCTCGGAGTACGTGCTATTTCATTTGTCGTGCGACAAATTTTTTAAGCTGATTGGCTACAGGATAGTAACATTCTTGAATATCTAGAAACTTTCTATCCAGCAACCAATTAACGCGCTTAAAGATTAACAGGAGACACGGTGGAGACTCCTGTCGGTCGGCTGTAAACTACGGATTCTATGGCCGGTATTCATGGTCCGTTCTTAAGCCTATCACACAATGCCTGGCAACAGGCAATAGGAATAGAGAATAGAATTTTTGACGCGTTGGATTCGTCGGAAATTTTCTTCCAACCAATCCAACGCGTCAGAAATTCTATTCCCTGTTCCTATTGCCTGTGCTTTCCTATTGTGTGATAGGCTTTAGGCCAGTATTCATCAGTGAACTCTATACATACTGGAAACTGGAATGAGAGAGTGATCTATTGTCTGGCTGTTGTCGGATAACTTTTTTTACTGATGTTTTTTTTACACCATGTTTCTGATCACGACCAATAACTTTTCTATCTAATTATCGAAAATGGCCGCGTTCAGCAGACACAACTGTTGAGTGAGCGCTCAATGATTTCTTAACATGATTGGCTGGATCTAAAAGTATTAGCCAATCATACTGAGCGCTCACTCAACAGTTGTGTCTGCTGAACGCGGCCAATATAAATTGAAAAAAAGAAAATCGTGATGAAACCCTATGTGTATGCGCGTGTGTATGTATGTTATAATTTAAAAACTTAAAACTGTCATAAAATTATCAATCTACAAAATTCAAACTTTTTACATTTTCTAGAAAAGGAAAATCGTTGCTGTGCTAAATTGAAGCGTTTAGCTTGATAAAATAAATACATAAAGGATTATTGTAACGAAATTATACAAAAATTATAGTGATATAACAAATATACATACATATCTACATACGTGTGTAAAATTAACGCACATGGACGCGCAAGGTAAAATTGCAGCCAAGGTAAAATAATTCTCTTGTATAACCAGCTATATCTCGATCCTTATAAACTATTTTTTTTATTAAATTATTCACAAGATGTAGTTTTAGAAAATATAAAAGCGTTTTTCCCGATATTATAATAAATATAAAAGCAATATGTAAATTAATATTAAAAACTATCATAGGTGCTTTATGTATTAGCATGGACGTTTGTCGCAAGCTATTATTTTGTATGGGGTAGTAACCAGCCAAGCGTAGCTGTTGCATCTGTTGATGAATCTGGTTGGAATACGGATGAAATTTTTGCAAGCGAAATAACTCGTTAAAAGCCAACAGAACACATGAAGGCACGTTCGAGCAACACTATATACATATATTCTTCTACAATCAGAAATCACATTAAATTTCAATTTTAATGCCAACTTTATTACATTTATTCCCACCTTTAATCATGCCTACAATACTAATAATAATCCAATTTAAATAAGAATTCTTCCATTAAATCTAATGTCTTTTTCTAAATACGTATCTCTCTACAGTCCTTAATCTTATCATACGTAATATATTGTATCTATAGCTGTCATTCACTTTTATTCAGAGATAGTATATATGAAATTAATGACTCTATTAATAACAGTTTGCTTATAATTTAGTATTCCACATATTTTATATTACACATATAAAGTTATATTATACATATAATGTTATATGTATAATATAAGTGATATAATATGTATAAACGTTTATATAACAATATATAAACATTTATATATATTATATATAAAATTCTAGTCACTTTTATTAATAATTAGGACATCATTTTTATCATTTTCATGGATAGAATTTGTTTCGTTTTTGCTATTCTCTTGATCATTTTGAAGCTGCGCTTGCCACATTGCATGATAAACAGCACCGTATGAAATTAATTCTTCATGTTTGCCTCTCTCAATAATCTCACCATCTTTTAAGACGAGGATTTCGTCCGCATGAATTATTGTGGATAATCTATGTGCTACAATAATTGTGGTTCGTCCAGCGCATACTCTGTTCAATGCTGCTTGTATATTACGCTCCGTTTGTGTATCCAAAGCACTTGTGGCTTCGTCAAGCAGTACTATTTTGGGGGCCTTTAATATTGTGCGTGCAATTGCGACGCGTTGCTTTTCACCACCACTTAGCCTAAGTCCTCTTTCGCCAACCTAAGACAAAGAATTAAATGGTTATTTAAATACATAAACAAACGTACAGGGTGTGGAAGTAACGCGTAACTTGCAACGCCGTTATAAGTTACTTTTTTCTTCTGTAACTGTAACGGTAACGCAGTTACATTTTTTTTAGTAACTGTCGAATTTAACAGTTACTTTTATTATTACTCTTTATATTTCAAACCTAACAGCTAAATGTTCCACTAAAAGCAATCGGATTTGCGCTCCTATGCAAATAGACAGTTTTAACAAACCTGTGTCTCGTAACCGCTTGGAAATGTGAGAATTCTTTCATGAATATCCGCGTGTTTTGCAGCAGCAATTATATCCGCTTCTGGTGCATCGATACGACCGTAGTGAATATTATATTTTATAGTGTTGTTGAACAAAACCGTATCTTGCGGCACGACACCTGTTAAATTATAAATTTTTCGGGATGAGCACACATCGAAGATAAACTTGATAGTTTAGCTTGATGGATAATAATAAAACGCCTGACGGAAAGCTACCTATATTACTTCTGAGAGATTCCTGTTTAACAGTCTTTACATTCTGTCCGTCAATTAAAATTGCGCCCTGTTCCACATCATAAAAGCGAAATAGTAATCGCATTATAGTGCTCTTGCCGGCACCGGATGGACCAACTAGCGCTATCGTTTTTCCCGCAGGTGCGACAAAACTGACATTTTTCAGCACAAGTTTTTCAGGAGCGTAACCAAACGATACATTCGAGAACTCCACTTGCCCACGCTTGACGTCCATTAGTCCAGCTCCTGGCGCATCTATTACTTCTTGCTCTTCTCGGAGTAGTTCAAACATGTTTTCCATGTCGACAAAATTCTTTTGTATGGCTCTTTGGATATAAAATTATCGAAATAAGTAAAGAAATTAAACTGTTAGAGTTATAACTAATAGCCGAGACAAACGTGGTCAATCGATAACAAATATAAATCGTGCATTTCTGCAACAATTCATGTGTTACCTATACATATACACTCATTAATATACATATGCATGTTACCTATAATATGTGCCAAACCAATTTAATGGTACGTAAAGTTGTATTATATAACTAGCGAACAAGACATAGTCGCCAACTGTTAAGCCTTGGTGGAAGACGACCTGCAAGAAAATTAATTTATCATTGTATACATTTCATTACTACAAGTAAAAATCATGTTTACAATAGTTACAATATAATTTTTATTCGAGCACTAACCATATGTAAGCACAATAGCGATCCAGATAATAAACCGCCACATATGATTATATTTTGCAAAGTGTTCAAGATATTCAGCGTGATCATTGATTTCCATTCTTGTACTTGGAAATCTAGAATCGCACTTCTATAGCTCTCAACTTCGTATGCTTCGGCGTTGTAATATTTTACGGTTTCAAAGTTCAGTAAACTATCAACGCTACGTGCCTTTTGCGCGTTATCGGCCAAGTTCATACGTCTTTGGAATTTAGTACGCCATTCCGTTACCGCAATTGTGGCAGCTAGATTGACAAACAAAGCGTTGGTAAGGGAAAGATAAAAATAGTATTTCGCGATCTACTGGTTTTGTAACAGTAAATCTGCTCATTTTTGCCATCTTATTTGACGGATTTTAATGCCCACGTTTCTAATACTATCATTATTATTATTTTACACGTACACACCGAGAGTTATTATCATTATTACTATTATGCTTACCGATATAAAGGACCATAGTTGTTAAAACAATGAGACCGAACCATTTATTAAATGCACTGACGAAAAACAAAACGGCCACAATAATGTCAATGATGGTTGGTACAATTGAAAAAAGGATATAATTGAGTAAATTATTAATCGAGTCTGTGCCACGATCCATGATTCTCAATACTTCGCCAGTTTTCCTTCCGAGATGCCAACGCAAGCTCAGTCCATGCAAGTGCCTTGAAAGAGAATATTATATGTATATATAATTTATTTTAACTTCAGCATACATGCTAAGAGGTGGACTTGGTTTAAAAGCAGTACCTTAACTCATTCATACCTTTACACTCCCTTACAGCTATCCTACCTATCTTCAATAATGTACATTTAACCATGTACATTTTCTGTTAACGCTTATCCTATTTAACATCTTTTTACTTCTATTTACATTCCCAATGTCTTACTTAGTTATTGCTATCTCTGTGACCTTTATATTTATGTAATCCATTCTTACATAACTTATATTGCATAATACTTGATTTACTTAATCTGTACAACTTGACTTGTTACACTATTCACACTATATTATACAATTTCCTACTCCCTACTTGCTGTTGTCACCTCCCTAATCGAGCTCTACTCATCACTCCCCGCTACCACTCTTTCGCTTAACTATTCTACGCTCTCTTTCTTTCCATAGTTTCCTAATTACCTTCCCTTTTATTTCATCTAACTCGTCACAACCATATAAGAGAATATTTGTGACTATAGACATAAACTCTAATTTGTCTGATAAACGGTGCAAAAAGTGATACGATAGATTTTATTCAACGACACTCTAATGATTAAAAAACAACATAACTTTAACTCACCTGAACAATTCTACCTCCACTTCGCGAGTAGTGTATTGTTGAATACGGATCCAGAGAAAGGATCTTAAATTGTTCAACACGCCCATACCCCCTGTACCACCGCCTTGCAGAAATTTGAATGCCACATATATCAGTACTATATCCCACCTGCAATAAGAAGTGGCAATTATTGGCGAATCAACGTGGATGGATAACAAGAGGCTCGTGGTCACACACCTAAATTCCACAGGAGCAATTGTAACGCTATCCACAATTTTTTTATTGTAAATCGGTACATAAAGATTTATCAAACGTCCAGCCATCAGCAACATGAAGCAAAAAATCACTCTTAGTTGAAGTAAAAAGTCTGACTTTGGCCATAAAAACGGTGATAAAATTTTAGTCTTGTACCACAGATTCGTCCACGTGGAAGCACTTTCTGATCTCTACAAATATTGTTGTACGAATTAACATTGTCTCACCGCGCGTACGTTACATGTGTAGTTGTATGTATCGCTTACTCTTTCACGATAATACCGTGATCGCACAATTGTGTCATCAGTAATTGTATGATAATCATCCAAATTACTGGCAATGCCAGGAGCTCGTAGACCGAGAGCAAAAATCAACAGGTTACTAACATATCGCAAAATGAACAGAGCCATTTCAATTTGATCTGTCGGGCTGCAACAAAACAACGGAATTACATGCATAAATTCTAAAATCACTTTTTGAAACAAACAATTCTTTTTAACGTATTTCGTCCACTTTGTAAGATTCTTTTCTTCTAACGTGGACTTACGAGTTCAAGTGAAACCACCACTCGAGTTTTCCGATATTAATTAAAACTAGATTTTCAGCAACGAATGCCAATGTCCAAAATCCTAGGAGCACCAATCCGTGACCATTTGGCGGCACACTTGGTAACCGCTTATGTCTTTCAATTCTCAGTATATAGACCGAGTATGGGTAAACAATCACCGTCAATACCGTTGTTAGTATCTGGAAGAATATTAACATGCATGCTAATTATCTATCAAAACAAATTCATTATCTGCCGTGTTTTACTTCCAAGTGAAAATCCAGCCAAAAAATCTCCTTCCAGACTAAAAAACTCTGTCTAAACAAATATTGTCTTTCGATAGGTGAAAATTACAATAGAAAAATAAACGGTTGAAGTGACTGTGTGTACAGTAGAGAAAATTGTCTTTCGATAGGTGAAAATTACAATAGAAAAATAAACGGTTGAAGTGACTGTGTGTACAGTAGAGAAAATTCAACTTTACGCGAAACAAAGACTAGTATTGTACATAATTCTTACCATATATCCGTAGACCATTCCATCGTCCAAGATTGTAGCTTGTAAAATTACTCTTATTATACTTAACACAGGAACAAGATACAGCACAAATTTTTGTAAATTATACAGCTTGCTTCTTGGTAAGATATTCTCGTCAGTTTCTGTCCCATACTTGCGGTATATCCAAAGTTGCACAGACCCAAATATAATCAAGTACAATGAAATTATACTGATCGAGATGGTATCCATAAAGCATTTAGACACGCCATGGTCTATCCAGATGTCATTAAAAGTTATATTCGGTGGACAGTATCTCATTGTGTCCATATTGATAGTCATTAGCGTTTATCAGTTTCAAGTACTTCAAATGTTACATCATTCAACACCCTTTTCTCCTGCACGATGCATCACGATTCCTTATATAACCTAAAGACACATGTGTCAAAGCTTAACATGAGGAAGGAATTAGATTAACGCATCAAAGTATTGATTATCTGTATGAATGTGTACATTAGTGCTGTATTTAAAATACTCGTGCTTGTAAAATTTGCAATGTTGCGTATAAAAAAATATAATTACTTTCGCAAATTTGTTACTAGAGCTTTCTATTACGTTTATTACAACTGAAACTTGAACAACTAATACGTTTACCTTCATTCCTGTGTTATTTTCGTTTAAATAGTGCTGAATTATCGCGTATATGTAAAGGGGTCGAATATTAAACAGCGTATGTACATTATACAGTCACAATGTGTAACAAAAAGATAGATACCAAGTTCTAAAGTTCAATAGCAACGTTGACTACTTAAAAATGCATACTAGTTTATACTATATTATTTCGGTTTAGATTTTTTTCATGTAGAAATTGTACTGTCATTCCCTCCAAACTTATCTGAAGCCGGGTGTAAAGCAAACAACACACGGTACTATTTTTCCTACTAAAATTGCTTAAGGCCTTCACACATAAAATTCCGTAAGGACGTAAAACGTAAGCATAAGAAAATCGACCAATCACAGTCGAGAACGTAAGGCAATGACGCAAGCAGTAGCAAATCCAACCTGTTCATTTTCTTACGCTTACGTTTTACGTCCTTACGGAATTTTATGTGTGAAGGCCTTTACGAGAGCCAATCAGGATGCAGAGTTTTAGATCAGGTGACTAAAGCCAGCGGCACACGATACTGTGTACGATGGCTCTTAATCTTAAGCTCAATCCATAGTCCGACGTACGGACCGGTTGCAAAAGGTGTAGCAAACCTTGAGCCGGGTCTCTTCAGAAATAAATTTGCATAACGCATTAATATATGCATAAGGAAATACATTTTAAAAAATAATTCCCCATATTTAATTCTATCTGAAAAATTAATGACAATTAATTCTTCATACTTTCGTCTTTTAGCGATTCAATGTTAAACTAACTAATTTTAAAGCCCGTATCAGACTACGGTTTGAGATTGGGATTAGATTGAAATTTGACCAATCACAGTAAAGTTTACTAATCTCAAGTTTAGTAACTTTTACTCTAACTGGTCAAATTTCAATCTAATCTCTATCTTAATCCGTAGTCTGAGACGGGCTTAATAGGTTTTCCAATCAAAATATGTCAGTAGTATGCTTGTTAACTTACACTAATCAGAAAATATATTTCTGTTTATCAATTTATGCATCTAATACCAACTAATCTACAATTTATATTGTCTAAATTGATTGTTTTCTTTGTACATACGTGCGTTGACACAGGGTCGTATAGGTTTACTCGGATAAGCCTTAAAAAGTAACGTGATGATAAATAAATCATTCACTATTTATTCACTCTCTTCCTATATACTTATTACACCGAACTATATTTAATTATTATTACTGGAACGTCGTCTGCCATTCGAAAGATCTGATCGAGAGAGACAGCTCTAAATTGGACGATTATTTTTGTCCGCAGAGGCCCGTTTTTTAAATGTTCTGTAAAAGTAATTAACAAAAATCATGCGGTGTGCCCGCAATTTGACGATGCATTTAATCGGAAATTGCCGCGAATTGACATCAATTTACGTACTCATTAAATTTATGTTCAATCAGCAAAATTTACATTAGTACAGCTAACTGTATTACATTAGTACTGTTGATTAAACCAACAGAGAACATCGATTTACAATGCCGCATAAATTGTTGATGAACAAAATTTTCACTGCATTAGTAAAAAAAAGAATAGTTTTCCAAGTGAACTTCTCTCTTTCTCTCTCTCTCCATTTTTGCAAATTTTTTGTACGAGGCTTATATAGAAAAGAGGCGCTTATGACAAATGTTCAAGTCCAGCGGAATGAAATCAACATACACATTACTATGCAATATCTTAAATTTTTACTCGCACAGAGAACATGTTTTCTATATCTTAAATAAGCTAGATTTACTTAAAGAACATAATTGTTAACTCTTCTCAGCGAATATAGCAATTGCGGAATCACTAATAGAATAATAATCACATGTATCCTCCAACTGTTACATAATGGAGAACAAAATGTTATCCTGCTCGAATGCAGCGTGATTGAACTGTATTTACGCCTATTATTGTCCCTTCCTCTATCGATTTGGTGGCCGATTGTCCGACGAATTGCTGCAAGGCGCAGCCAGACTATAGAAGAAACAATTTTGGAGTAAATGCAATTCTACTCACTACATTTTTGCTCTCCATCGTTAAACGCAAGGATATTACATTCCATTATTCTAATGTATGCTGATTAATCTTGAGAATTCAAGTAAAAAATACTCAGCAAATGTATATACGTAGCACATATACAGGATATTCCACTTTTCATCCAATCGATCAATTGCGCAGTCACTAATGACAGAATCTTCAGTGAGTTCGATTGATTTTTTCCTTCAACAAGAAATATCGACAAATATTTTTACTAGTCGACATACAGCTATTTAAATTTTGACGTTACAAATCTTGAGAAGCAGACAAAAGTTCTCGAGTGATGAAAAATAAAAACTGTCCTCTCTCTAATCTCTCGGAAAAATTTTTCTCTAATATCTTAATTAGAAAAAAATCTTTCTAATCGCTTATAATTTAAAAGCTATTCACGTATTGACATGTTAGTATTAACATTTAATATTAGGTCTTCAATTTACTTAAAAGATCTATCATTTCAACGGTTTTGTTTCCTTCGAAGTGGGATACCTTGTATAATTGAATGACACACCAGACACATACATGCTTTCGATATTTTTCTTGTTGTGTGACAACACACGCACGTGACTGCATCGATCACAAGAATTTATTTTATAATGAGCAATCATTTCACTAAATATAAATCATTTATCAAGTAAAAGCCAGACGACAATACAACATCTTACAGTTTTCTTCTTCTTCTTAAATAAATTAAGTAACATACGAGGAATGTGTGGGACAAGGAGGAAACGATTTGTAATACAAATTTATAAGTTTCAGATACAAAAGAAATGTATACGATATCGAAAAGATTTATATCGGCACAGATATTACGAATAAAAAAATTTAGCTAATGCGGAATGACTAACTTGTGGTGAATTAACAAGCACTTTTGGCACATCTAATCTCAGTAATTTAAGAAGCGCAGCGCAGGGGGGTAGAACAGTAACGAAACTAATATTCATGCGGTTAAGTGCCATAAGTGTCTTGCACACAATTTCTAAGATATGCATAATCACACAGAAATTTGCATTTTTAATTGTTTACGTGGACTATTGGAAAATTCGCGCGGTAGGCATCTGTAAGAATGTATGTATATATACAAGATATGTTACGTAATAATACAGATATCTGGAATTCTCTTGCAACTTACTCTTTTCTTTTCTTTTTTGTAAGAGAAACCTGACTTTAACACTTTGACTGTGACTTAACATCGAGAATGAAGAAGCTTATTACTAAAATTGAATACGATAGAAATGACTTGTATGTATGCAATATTCGAATTCGTGATTACACAAAATCTGTCTAATTTATAAGATTGTGCCAATAATAAAGATTATTTCCCTCTGCCATATCGCACAATAAGATAGTTAATTTAAATACATTCTTTAATATAAACGCGTTACATTAGTCTGTTTTTCTGTAAAAAATAAAATGATTCCAGTATGCAGTAAAGAAAGGTGAAACGGAATGTTTTATCCATGAATTCTTAGATTACAATTATACTGTGAGCAAACACTGAAGTGATTAAACTCACCCTGCGTGTGTGATTTGTGGATTATACAGAGTGATTAAGTTTGTAATTCTACAAGAAGAAATAATACCGCGTACATAAATAGTTGTTTCAAAACACATAAAAATTTTAGATATATGTATATATACAGTTTATTTGGCAGAGAGAGGCTTATCTATAGACGCAATATTATACATAAAAGGAATATGAAACTAATATATTATGACTTTCTCGCTTCTTATATGACATTCTGAAAACAATGTGTTTCATAATTTCAAATGCGAAATGATCGCGGAAGTATTATTCAGTTTCACTTGTCGTGTCGACTTACCTAACTAATTGTTTGCAAAATAAAGCGCTTTAACATTACATACGTTAAAACAAGTTACATCATCTACAATTTTCTATCGTTTTGCCTGTTACCGTTTCGTGACGTACAATGGACAAATGGGCCTACGGATGCTAGGCCCATAAACAACATCATTTTCTATGACAGTCTTTGACTTTGGCATTATTAAAATGAAGCAACAAATCCTTTTCTATACTGTCTTCGTAATGTATCCCGCTCCGTTTTATGTACAAACACTTCATACAAACGTAAGATATAACAAGCACATACAACTCTAATCAATGTGTCTCAAACGTCGAAATAAAAATGATTTTAAATAGAAAAAAATTCGATAGTAGGTATTAAAGTTCGAAAACTTTCTTTCTAGATTTCTTCTCAGATCGTAACACACTTGAATTTATATGTCCGTGATACAATTTGTATTCGACTTTATCCCAAACGCTCTAACAAGTGTCTTGCGAACTTATTATTGGGACGCTTGAATTACAATTTGTACCTACGTTAGAACTAAAGTAAAACGAAGCGCGTATGCTCATTTAATTGTTTAAGCTACTGATCATTTAACTGATTATCACTTACGCTCATTCGTACAAAAACAAAAAAAATTAGATTGCTCACCCAATTAATTCCTAACGATCAAACAATACTAGCTGGGATACTGCTAACACCAATTGGCTGAGTATTTTCAACTAGTGTGGACCGCATGCTCGATGATGGAACTTGAACATCCATCGCTGTTGTTCTCATTTCGCCAAAAGGTGCCCTAAAGTATGGATACATCGTATTAATCTTTTCAGAAATGCCTTTTTCTTTTCTATTCAAGAACAGATAACATTTAGATATAAGACTATATTTATTATTTCTAGCTTATCACCACATAGAGTGTTTCCCATCTATAACTTATCAAGAGACATAATCATACGTAAACTTTACAGTGTCGTACTTAATTCACAATGTTAATATGCACTCGCTATCAAAAGCATAACACAGTAGCATTATTTTTAATTAATTGGATATAATTACGGAAAGAAATATTAACCGTACAATTTTTCGCTATTGCGAAAACATTTTTATATGTTACGTAGTGTGTTATGCGTGATACAATTAATTGTCATGTGCTCATTGCACTGTCAATGTAAAAAAATTTTTTTCCTTATCACTGCTGTGAAATTTTAAATACAAAATGATTGTATTCGACAATATACACCTTGGAATTTATTTCTTTCCGCATAACTGCATGCACAAGTACAGATTAACACAATCACATATAAGTAACTATTAAATTAACGTACACAAATAAATTATATAAATAAAAACAGAACTTACATTGTAACTATAATTATTATAATTCTTGATTATAATAATTATTATAATATAATAATCAGGGTTGGGAAGTTACAGTTACTCTTTTTGATAACTTTAACTTAACGTCGTTACTTTCCCGCCATCTGTAACTGTAACTCAGTTAAATTTTTTCGACGACTAGTAACTAATTTAACTAATTACTTTATATTTTTTAAACCTCCACAGATCGCATTAGGCCTTGCATTTACGCATAAACGCCTTTATCGGCGCTTTACAATTCAAACGCAGATTTGATATTTTTGTTGCAAGTAACTACAAAGTAACAATTCGTTACTTTTTTAATAACTGTAACTGTTACTTTTCAGAATTGGTAACTTGTAACTGTAACTAGTTACACTTTTAGCGAAAAAACTGTAACTGTAACTTGATTCTTTTATAAAGTAACTTTCCCAACCCCGATAATAATGATGTAATAATAAAAATGCTAAATTTAAACATAATAAAATTTAGATTAGATTATTCAGCACAATAGTCAGAAATTAATTGTAAAACATAATTGAATGCAGAAACATCGCAAGACACACAATATTGCAAATGGGATGTTCATAACAAAAAGTTGAAAAGTAAATGTTACAATATGTCGATTATTAAATGAACGAATGTTACCCTAATTCGATACTGAAATATCTAATAGCGAATTCGGCAGCTTGCACTAGTGCGCACCGAGTGCACACCAAGGCTTGGTCAGAATCTACTCTTATATTCATGGTCATCTCAAGTACATGTCGAAAAAACTATTTAGCCAAAAAAATGATCCGTACGTTTGCTACACAAATCATTTTACTGGCTAGGAAGTATTTCAAAAAGTATTTAAGATCCTTAAATATAAGAATTGATTGTAAACAAACCTTAGTGCGCACTAGTGCAAGCTGCCGAATTCGCTATAACCGATGAGGTTTGAGGATACTTCAAACCTAGATTTTATTTCTCAAAGAAAAATATGTATAACAATCTGGAAGACAAAAGACATTAACAATCTAGTTAGTATAATACTTAATTATTTAAAGAGAGAAGAATGTTATTTTGTAAAACTTATCAAACCATCTTCGAATTGTATCATATTCAATAGTATTTTGATTTAGTATCGAATCAGAGCAGCTGTAAAAAAAAAGAAATACACGAAATGATAACGGTGTATGCTGAGAGAACAGAATGGATATTTGTGTAGCGAAGCATCGTACTTAGATTTTGTAGTAACATTAAATCTTGTATATTATTGCCTGGTTAGTGAAGTGGTGCAATGAATATTTGATGATTTATGTAGGCCTCCAGACGTCAGGATCCTCCATGAGAGTAGTATGGTGATCTGTAGTAGGAGGCACTGTACCCTGTGGGGAACCCACGCCCGACGTCATTCCTGCTGGGTCGGGCCTGGATCCTCTGTTATTGTTATGTTACACATTAGTAAACACTCTGCAGAGATTGTATCAAATACAAGACAAAGTTACTTCGCGCGATGCGTCTGTTTCATTGACTCTACAAAGAGTTATTTTGTGACGACCGTACAGCTGGAAACGAAATAAACGTTTTTCTTTTTTCAAACCTTTCTCTGTCCAACATAAAGTATCACTTCGAGGTATCTGGTACGTTTTTTGACGCGCTGTCCCGTGTAAATGTAACTTTTCATAAAATTATCTTGTGAAAATACAATATTTTGTCCAAAAAAAAAACCAAAGCGAGGTAGCATTAAGAACACAAACACAATATAAAAATTGCTCTTCCACCTCAAAGCGAAAAAAGGTATAAGGCAGAGGGAGAAAAGCGTACACTATGTAGCTTTATATCAAACAAAAGCGATGTTATCTGGATGTGAGACCGTATGACAAGTTTTCTGTTAATCGAGAATAAAGAGACAGATGAAATGAATAGGTAATTGGTTCACAGCATTCATTAAATGATTGCAAGTTGGAACCTCGATAAGAATGAAGTTACGTAAATCTCTCTTGCGATTTTTGAGCACATTAGCGACATTTTGTCCACAAAATTACACACCTCAAACACTTTAAACTTCCCATTACACTGACGTGTACAAAAACATGGATTTGCCAAAGACAGACCAATTACTAAAGTGGCTGAAAAACGAAAACTGGGAAGAGCGTAATCAATATTGCAAGACGTTTTATGCAAAGTAACAACATTGATTGCAACTCTTTTGATAATAATTTTGCATCAATTCAATTTGATAGTTCATCAAATCAGATCGACTTATTGTTTCGACAAAAGGTTATTTGTATCGACGATTAAATATTCATTATATTGCATTTGCAAATTTCTGCAATTGACTCTTCTTTGTCTCTTGGTCAAAAAGCTCTTATTCGGTTGTCATGTCTTACGAAATTCCCAAGGAAATCATACTTACTTTCTACCCAGGGACATCAATCCGTATATTATCCCCGTAGTAAATATTAAACCGCTGCCAAATATACTCCCCATTCCTGGACATAGGAAGACTGCTGGCACTGCTATTCTAAATCAACAAACACGATGCGGTTCAATTTAATTGTAACATACGTACAAGTGTGTGCGGGTCTTAAGACCTGCGTCCACGATGCGATAGAATTTGATTCAAGTTCTAGTCTCCGAGAAACGTGCGGTCAATCAACTTGCAGCTTTTACGGAATAGCTGCAAGCTGATCGGCTACACACTTCTCGAAAAACTAGAACTTGGATAAAGCATCGCGAACACAGACCTTTATAATTGACGGTTCATACGCTATGGAGGAAATGAAATGAGACTTACAGACAATAAACGCCCGCTCTATTCCAATACGGCTTCTTCTCCACCCAGTCGCTTAAATTCTGTACAAAATCGATGAACAGGCAGCAGCAAGGTGCCTCGATCATCACGACCAGGAAGCCAGCTATCATTTGCCACATACCGCTAATTAAGCAATCGATCTGACCGAAGATTATCGACGCGCAATTCCAGGCACCGAGGAAAATCGCAACTGCAAACAAACCGGGTGATCTCCGTTACGAATTCGCGTTCCACTTGAGAAAACACGTAGCCCGAAGTCGTAGTATAACTTCTGTATCTGACATTATAAAATTGTACACAGAGTTAAATATAAACTGACACATACACGTATACGTGCATTCCATGTACACACGCGTATACGCGTGAAAGAGTAAAGCGGGGCGAACACTGTTGCCCGAAGGTCGGATGAAAGGATGAACATTCCGGCCGCGAATTGGGTGATTAAATAAATAATGATATCTCACACGCGGATACCCATACATGTGTGCGCGCGCGCATGCTGGAAGGAGATACCGAAATATCGCACGATGTATGTATGTAAAGAGGAAAGAGAGCTGCGAGCGACACGGTATCGACTTGCGCGGACTCACTTATGCTGCCTACGGTGCCGAGTCCGCGACCCGCGTACTTCATCCACCAGGGCACATCGTCCTTGGCAACGGGGTCCTGCCCGGGCCTCTGCATGATCGATGCTATTTTCTCGCCAAAAGACTAGAGAAAAAAAAGAGAAAGGGGAGAAAAGGAAGACGTGCACGCGCGCACGGCGAGCGCGGGCGCGCTCGCCGTGGCGCGCGTCGCCGCCCGACGTATTAAAAAAAGTGTACGCCTCATTACCATCTTCGACGCTGTATTGTTATCCTTGCTGTGCGTCAGCTGAGATCGCTGACAGTACCACTGGTACCTGCGCTCCGTGCTCTGTTGATGTACGGAAGAATCGACCCGCTGCTTTCGCGTCCGCGACCATGAGGGCGCATCGTACGCAGACGGGGGGTTCCGCAAGTAATAAGAATCTGGCTCGGACGATTTGCGTCCTATCAATGGCCAGCGGAATCAGCGGATCGCCAATCACAAGACCGTTTCGACGGAATTTTTGAAAGGGCTCTATCAGAATGATCTTGTGATTGGCAATCCGCGTATTCCGCTCCATGGGACGTCGCTCTGATTGATCGAATCTGAAATTTCCTAGCATTACATAGAAATTTTATTAAATGAAATTCCAGATTTGACCAATCATAGCACATAGTCATTTTAATCTGGATCATTTTGATTTTCTCACGAAAGCAGCCAATACAAATTGTCTTCAGTCTCGATTGAACTTGTCTTGTCATCCTTTTGTAGTTCGAAGAATCGGAAAAAGGTAAGTCCCAGTCTACAATAGAGATTTAAAGCCTCAGGCTGGATTCACATGGAGCGTAAGTTGCGTAGCGTAAGTCCCAGTCTACAATAGATGATTTAAGCCCTAAGCTTTAAGAAATTGGCCAATCACGGTCAAGTATGAGTAGAATGCGCGACTGTGATTAGTCAATTTCTTAGTCCCAGTCTACAATAGAGATTTAAGCCCTAAGCCTTAAGAAATTGACTAATCACAGTCGCGCATTCTACTCATACTTGACCGTGATTGGCCAATTTCTTAAAGCTTAGGGCTTAAATCATCTATTGTAGACTGGGACTTAAGGCTTAGGGCTTAAATCTCTATTGTAGACTGGGACTAACCTGCGTATCGCTAATCACAGGACTAGTTCAACGGAATTATTGAAACGGTTCTATCAGAATGACCCTGTGATTGGTGATACGCAGGTTACGCTACGCAAGTTACGCTCCATGTGAATCCAGCCTAAGCCTTAGTCCCAGTCTACAATAGATGATTTAAGCCCTAAGCTTTAAGAAATTGGCCAATCACGGTCAAGTATGAGAAGAATGCGCGACTGTGATTAGTCAATTTCTTAAGGCTTAGGGCTTAAATCTCTATTGTAGACTGGGACTAAAGCCCGTATCAGACTACGGATTGGGATTGGGATTAGATTGAAATTTAACCAATCACAGTAAAGTTTACTAATCTCAAGTTCAGTAACTTTTACTCTGATTGGTCAAATTTCAATCTAATCCCAATCTCAATCCGTAGTCTGATACGGGCTTTAGTCCCAGTCTACAATAGAGATTTAAG